TATTCGTCCCAATATGTATCTTTGTATCTCGAAAGCTACCATTGTCAATTATTTTCTCTAATAAGTGACATTGAAGATCATAGAGAATCGTTTTGTAATCCAAATAACCTTCGCGATTAAAAAAAAAGTCAACAAATCCACATTCTATATGCAATAACAATAACTTGAATTAAGAAAGGACAAGTTAGAAATAAAGGAGGACATAAATTTAAAAACCTAGTAGCTTCGTAAAAAGGAATAATACGAATGACATGCCGATAGACGAAAATATTTTAATAGAGAGAGATAATAACTCTGGTTGAAGAGCAAACAAAATATGTACAAGCGTAGCCCATCGATCTACCGGTTGGTAGACACCGGTGAGTAGGTATATTAGAAGGAACGTTTAAAATTTTTACTTCGTATATACATACGTATACGTTGAACGTGCTTCGATCCTTAAGTAAATATTCTTCCCTCTGTGTTATTTGGTTAAAAAGCGGTCACCGGTGAACTTCTGCCGTTTGCCTTCGACTCGTATTCGGTTATACTGCGATTTGTCAAGGGTATACAAGGAATCATAACAAGCGTGAAAGGTGGTACGGTGATCTATCATTCTTTTACGCGCAACTAGTTTATCCGTATGAATTGTCCGTGCGAAAACAAATCGAGTTGTTAGGGAAAAAAAAAAGGAAAAAAATTTTTGATAGGGGGAAAGGAAATATTCTACGTGTTAAAATTCATGTATCATCGAGATGGTAATCGTTGGTAACGTAAGATGTTAACATTTTTCAATTTTTATGCAGATTAGAACGAGTGGATGATCTGATTGTGAAACATTAAAAAAATATTAATCTTGCTGACTGTACTGTTATAATTTATAGCGAGGCGCGTAATTGAACAAATAAAAATTGCTCGATACTTTAAACTGTTCTAACTTTGTAAAAAAAAAGAATCATATAGCAATTTACTTGATCTCATTTTAAAGAGTGAAATTTCTTCTCTGAATTCGTTTCTTTCCAAGATATATTAACGTCATTTTGAGGGCGAAAAGATAAGGATAACTGTGAAAATTCTAAAATAGTATTTCTGCTCCTTTAAATAGATCACACTTCATTAACACATATTGGGATAAAAATGTATATATTACATTTTATATAAATATACATGAAAATATATTACGATTAAAAATATACGAATTGCAAAATTTTGTACAATTTTACAATTATAACGTTCTAGGAAAATATCAGAAAGAAAATTTCACTTCATTCGTACACAGAGTGATTATTTTTTTCCCGGTACGTTCACCGGGCGAACATCATCCTCCGACTTTTCCTCGGTTCTCCTGGTTTTTTCTTTTTTTTTTTTTTTGGTGACTAAGAACCGAAATCAATGTCTCGATAAGGGAACGATATTTGACAAAGTCAGATACGCTTGAACTAGTCGCGGTTAAAAATCGAATAGATTTTTTATCAGTAGGATAAGCAAATGCGTCGTAGGACCGACGACAAAATATATCGCGCGACAACCGATAACAGGCCGATTACTTGAGAACTGGGTGTGATACCTATTACGCGGCTATTAGCTGCTCGATAAGGCGGCAGATACCACCAACATTTCTTTGGTAAGACTCACGAGCGCATGCACAAAATGGTGACGACATTCAACGGTACGACTGAACGAAATGAAAATGAAGCGAGTGAGAATTTAAGATGCTTACAACATATGTCATAAAAAGTATACATTTCCATATTATTTTTGCAGTATTTTGTAATTTCGCAATGATAAAATTGATCAAGATGTACTGTAATTATAATAAAAACGACGATGTATAAGTAGATTTTTTTAATGATTCTATGGGATATGTTCAAACGCATATTTAATCCATTGATGTCATACATATCTCAGTTTCTTTAAATTAACACTAACGTCGCTAATATCTTTTAAATGTTCAGAAATATAGTTAAAAACTCACCGATTTCTTTGAATTTCATGAAATTATATACGGTGAGAAGATACTAATCGAATTTCCTCTCACAGTGGTAGGAAATATGATTTGACAGTACAAATTTTGGTTCAAAAGAATTGCACCATGCGATAGAGACATTTAATTCATTTTTTTGAAATTTCATAAAATTGATAAACGACGGAAGAATAATCAAGCGAATTTTCCTTTCATAATTCTAACGTTAAAAAAATTGTAATTTAATGCAAAATAAAATGTCGCGAAAGTTAACGAAACGTTGATCTTTAATGAATTAGTCGTGGAATGAAATGGAGAAATGACCGTGACACGGAATTAAATTGACAATAGAATTCAATTTGAAAAATTAATCTTCCAGAAAAGTCAGGTGACTTATCAAGTTGTTCAATTTCGTGGCCTTCGTATGTAAAAGTGTCGTTGATATCTCATCATATTTCGTAAGCGTTATCTAACTACATACCTATATTCTCGCATTATTCTGTACATATGCATTCGTAGGTATAACGAAAATTTCATTCATCGTCTTTCGTTTTCTTTCCCGAACAATCGCGCGGCAGAGACTGCATAGATATGTCGGATTGAACGAAAATCTCGTTTCACAAGAGAAAATTCATCTCAGTTCCTTTCAGTAACTCTTTCTCCTCTTTCTTTCCATTCTTCTTTCCCCTTATTTTTTCCGTTTTTCTTCTTCTTCTTCTTCTTCTTCTTTTTCTTCTTGATCTGGATGCTATCGTAAAAGATTGAATGACACTCCTTCCTGTACACGATTCTGCCTTTTTAAATTCGCGAAACTCGCGGATGAGAAACTTCGCGAAGTCTTGAAACGTTCGGAATTAGTGAAACTCGAAGTGTTTATTTCTCTTTTCAAGGAACATCTATCTTGCTTAGCTACTTTCAGTAACTAGGGTTAATTAATCAATTTTTCCTTCAATTATAAACGACTATAATCGATCGGTGAAATCGTATTGATTAAGACGGGTGTAGAGTCTAACTACAAACTCGATTATCACTCGTGCTGATAACCAATTAAGAGAATGCTTCGTTTCTGAAATTTCCAAGAGCATGTTACCTCACGGTTGTGAATAGGAGAAATTAAAAAGGAAGTGCAGACGTGTACGGGGAAGTGATAGGTATAGCAATGAAAGCGAAGGAAGGAAATACGAATTATTACTAATATTATAGCTACTTTGTAAGTCCAGTGGGAGAAGATTAAGAAAACGAGAAAACAAGTTTTCTCTTTTATAAACAATTCAGTTTAATTTAAATCATATTTAGCTAAATTATATTTAGCAACGAAATTTTAATTTAACAAACAATTTAATCTAAGTAAAAAATTTCGCTGTTAAATACAATTGCGTTCGATACCTCGAAACGAAAGAGAATGGATACTCCAGTAATAAAATTTATCAAAGCTAGCTAGCTCTAAAATTCATCGTCAATCGTGTCTTTTTACTTAAAATGAAAAAAAAGAAAAAATTATAATAATAATAAAGAAGAAAAAAAAAGAAAAAAAAAACAGACAAGACGTCGCAGATTGAAATTGGCCCCAATTCAAACGACCAGGGGTTGCACTTGAGCGGCCGGCGAGACGGAACACTTTAGCCCAAAGAGGGCAGAACAGGATGCTGGTGTTTCACACGGTGGAAAATCCATCGCCCGGGGATCGGGGGCAGCGAACGCTCGCCCGTGCCTCCTCGTTCGCTGCTATTCGCGGCTGGCTTGCAATTCCACCGTCGAACGCCCTCCGCGACGAGGAATTCGTGGAGTTTCCGGAGCGATTGTGAATCATCAAGGATCACGAGGAGTCAAGAATTAGAAATCGCGAATCGGCACTCGGGACTCGATACTGCCGGGTGGCAGCCCGACGATGGAGAGACGACAGAGATAGTGAAAGAGAGATGGGGCTGACAGAGGGGAGCATAAGGGATGGTGTAGGCGTGGCAGAACCGCGAGGTTCGCCGCGATAGGCGTGGCAGAATCGACTGACCGCGGAAACGCAGCAGCAGAGGGGAACGATTTTCCCGTGAAGGACACGCGGTTCCTCGCGACGTCACTTTGTGGTGCGGCGCCGAGCTAATCGCTCGTACTCGCCGCGAAATCGAGAAAAATCGGCGTTCGATCGTTCGTCGTTGAAAGCGAGGAAACAAAAGAAAAGAAAAGAAAAGAAAAGAAAAAAAAAACAAAAAGAAAGGGAAAAGAAAAAGGAGTCGTGCGTTCGGAAGATCTTCACGGGGGATCTTCTCGGAAGAGAAGACAGAAAGCACGTCCGCGACTCCATTTTAAATCGAGCTGCATCGAAGGAACCGGTGGTTCGATAGTTCGTCGTTGGGAGACACGATGTGTCACGATACGTTGTGAATTGTGGAGAGCGGGCAAGAGCGTTGCACGATCAGTAATTAATTTCGAGCCGAATTTTCGCTCGTGAAATTAAAAAGTTTACCTGTCGTTTGAAAACGCGTGCAATACGTTGCGAACTGTGAGGATCGGATAGTTGTATAACGTACTGTTTCAACATCGCGTGTAATATTCGTGACTCCGTTTTAAACTGAGCTGATCGATCGTACGATTGCTACGTCGGAGAGATCGGTGTTCGACGTACATTGTGAATTGTGAGGATCAGACAGAAATTTAAAAAAAGAAAAAAGAAGAAAACCGGTGTCGTTCGAGAACGCACGCGATATATTGTGAATTGTGAAGCTATACCTTGGAAGATCAGACAGTTGCGTAAGCTATCCGCATGCTGCGACGCCATTTTAAATCGAGCTGATCGTTGGTGTATGCGAAATAAAAAAAAAAAAAAATAAAAGGAAATCGGAGTTTGATAGTTTCTCGTATAATAAACGCACGCGGTGCACTGTGAATTGTGAAGACATCACGGAAGATCGGACAGTTGCGTAACCTTGTCTGCACCGACTCCATTTCAAATCGAGCCGATTTGCTTAAAAAAATTGGAGTTCGATCACTGAGAAACGCATGAACGATGCATTGTGAACTGTAAAGATCAGTCAGCAACTTTGTTTTGAATCGTGTTGCTTCGATAATAAAAGGAAACCAACGTTCGTTAAACACGATACACTGTAAATCGGACAGTTATATATCTCGAAGGACAGACAGTCGCACAACCTTGTACATTGCAACTATAACAGTCGCGACTCTGTTTTAAATTAAATTTAAAAGCCATGATCACCGATCGGATTGAATGAAACACTGGATGTTGTCGAAAGAGTATCAATTAAAATAAAATAAAATATAAACCGGCATATTCGTAAATGGTCAATTATCGCGTAGACTTTTGCAGTGACAGAGCACAAGCTGTCATCAACAACGACTGACACGCGTGAAACAAATAAGACAAGACAAGACACATAATGTGCAATAAATAATAACAACAATGTGTTGACCGATCGATTGGAAGGTTGCGTTACAACCGAGTATGCATTACAACGCCCAGAGGATCGCGGAAGACTCGTACCTGCGCCAGAGACAACAGGAGCACCAGCAGCACCGACAGCACCAACAAACGAACCAGCAACACGCTAGCTACGCCAGCATTCGACAAAAGGCTCGCGATCGTTCGTGCTCGCCGAGATCGGATGAAGTGCGGTCCCCGGTGTCCGAAGTGAGGGGAGAGACGGTCGTCGGATCTCCGGAGAACGCGTGTTTCGCGGAAAACGGCTCACCATCGGGTCTCATCGGCGACGAATCGCGAATGTCGAGGTACCGCGAGGAGAATGACGCGAAAAGACCATCCTTCTCGAAGCAGGAGAACGACGAGTCGGCGGCGAGTTTCTTTCGGGAGTCGGACGACACCGGCGTGAAGTGTTTCACGGAGGAGATGGTGTCGGCGGTGGCCAGCCATTACAGGGAATCGAACAACTCGCCGGGAAGGATCTCGCCGCAGGAGTACGCGGTTCATTCGACGGACAGGCGTCACAGTTCATTCGGTAAGACGTCGTTTTGCATCGACGCGTTGCTCGGCCGAGCGACCGGCAAGCAGGAGAACCTCGATCACGAGCGATCGGAACGAAACCAGAGATACCTGTTCACGAATTCCGTGAGGAACTCCGTCGTGGACGGAGCGAGTCCCTGCCTGACGAACTCGTTGGTCCGCGGTCAACACGATCGAGAATCCTCTTGCACCCTCGGTGGCGCGAGCGGAGCTGCAACCGGTATCGTCACTGGCATCGGCACTCGTGAAACCGACGCTACCACCGGAGTAGGAATAGCCGTCGGAGTCGGTGTTGGTAACGGGACTGCGCTTAACATTGGTACCGGAAGAACGGAGGAGCAGAGAACGTCTTCCCTGGGAGGTCTTCTGAATCCATTCGACAGATCGGTCGTCCAACATGGGCTCGCCTCGCCGTCGAGCTTGCAGGTTATCCGCGATGCGAGCGACAGGCAGGACATTCGCAAGGCCGCGGAGGAGACGATGAAACCGTCTCCCTACAACAAAGGGGAGAACGTCGCCGGGATTGGGAACGGAGGGTTTCGAGTCGATCGGTTGGAGAACGTGATCGAGGACGACGGCTCGATTGACGTTGACCCTGCGAGGACAGGGTCGGCCAGCTCCGGAAGCAACGCGAGCCACAGTCCGATCTCGAGTCCACCGATCTCGCCAGGTTCGGAGGAGCCCGGCAACAACAACGCCGGTATCCCTGGTAATCCGAATTTACCGAGTGGCCATTACAGCGCGCTCGGCGGCAGCAACGCGGGTGTAGCACGGCAGAATCAAGCGCTTCTCTTACATCCGAGCGGCCCCCTCATACATCCCGGAGGATTATATTATCATCCGGCCGGTGGTAGCGCGTTTCACTCGATACACAAGGAAGGTCAACCCGTCGGGCATTCGCAGAGTGCTCATCCTCAGCAGCATCACATCCATCCACTCCAGCTCGAGTGGTTGGCTAGGACCGGAATGCTGTACCCGAGGTTACCCGCCGATTTAGCCGGTGAGTCAGTTAGTTACCTTGCCAATTTTCTTGCCAGCCCGATCTCTCCATTCCCTCCTTTCTCTTTCGCCAAAACATCCCGCGGATCTTTTCTTTTCTCGCTCTGCGAATAACACGGCAGTGATCTCGTTGCAACATTCCCGCAATGTGCTGTAATATTTCTCGGTACGGTATACGTTTGTTCACCGTATGATTAAATTCTTGTGTGTTCGAAGCGTTGGTCGATCTTCATTTGTCATTTTGCGATTCGATCTACGGATTTTAGCCAGCTATTTTCGTTTCTTTCTTTGCGAGTGTATATTAATATTGTTCGTCGCGACAATAATAATAACGACGAGGGTGAAAGAACAAGCGTATCGTTGGATTTTCGTGATTCGAAGAGATGAAATCTGTGGGAAGAGACTTACAAAGGATTGCAAAGAATTAACCCCTTGCGCTGGCAACTGATTCGCGGACCATAACGAGTGACCGAACCGTATACAATAATTCGTCGCTTTCTTTTTCTTTTGAACTCGTCGGTATGATATCACTGGATAAAAATTATTGAGAAGTAATCAATTTATTATTTGCTTTGTTCCTGGGTTATACTTAAATATACTTAAAAACTGAGAAAATGTTGCAATCTTTGGGACAAAAAGTTCTCGACGTGAGTGGCACGTCATTCCAAGAGATTAAAGGAAACGGTTCATGTAGATTCTTATTGTAGAAACTATCTTTTTCTGAGGATATACAGAAGCTTGCGCAAAGATGCAGAGGGACTGTTAAAAATAACTCTATTTTATAATTGTATTGCAGATAATTGTCTCATCTCTTAAATCTTGATTTAAAAATTCAAAACATTATATTCGCTTCTAAATAGAGCCAAAATCGTTATGTGCCAAAACCAATATATATATATATATATAGTTTCAATCTTTTGCATTCTAATAACTCCTTGTGGTTCATAATAATAATTTTTAAAATGCTGATCTGTAGGTTTTGCATTGTTATTAGCAGACGTACGTACATAAAAATATATGTGCATTGCATATACGTAAAATTATATTTTCGATGAACATTCTTGAATGAATTTCCAAATCTGTCCGACTACAACAAAAATAACACGTGTATTGTATTACAAATGATGAACGATAACACGATTCGGGCAATTCAACATAATCATCTTTTTTATATAACAAAAGATGCAAGTTGTGCGAATTACGATGGACGATCGAACAATAAAAAAGAAATCTTATCAAAGTACGCGTGTTCATTACGATAATGATTGCCCGATATTACGTATTGCATTGTTTTCTGATAGGAGGCAAGACATTTAAGCAGTTTCATTTTGTGTTTGGTAATTTTTTTAAAACTAGATTGAATACTAATCGGTGTTCTCATATTATTCCGAGTAGTTGGATTACGTAATTGTAAATCGAAAACCATATATCTTATGTATTACACTGTTAAAATTAAGCAATTTCATTTTGCATAAACGTCAAAAGTAAAGTAACGAATTAAACGAGTTATCATACGGAATTATTAATGTTTATTTCCTTTGACATTAGAAGTGTAAGAATAAATCGGCAATTTATGTTTTAAATTATCTGTCCTGAACACACGTTTTATCACACAATTAAAGAATTGGGCAATTTTGTTTTGCGACTGTGAAACTTTAATTTGAAATTGGTGTTACCGGCAAGTAACAGAAAACCTCGTTTCGGGCACTGATGTTCAATGATACTCTGGCGCGTCATAAAATAAATCGACAGATTGCTCGTAAGACTCGACAGATAGGTACGATAACGAATGTTTACATGCTTAATGTAACTCTTCACCGTACTATATTGACTAGCTACTTAAATTTTTAGGTCGGCTGTCAAATGATAACGCGGGCAGTTGGATTCACGGCATATTGTTGAAAATACTAGCATATTAGCACTACCCTTACGTTTTCGAAACGTAATATATCTTATTTCAAGAAACACGGGAGACAATTTCCCATAATCGAGTTTCAATTGGAAGAGCCTGAAAATTTGCAAGTAACTTTGAAAGGAACACAAGTGATAAAATTGTTTTGTAACGAATTGCAAATTATTAGCATCGATGGATTTCCTTACGTAGATAAAAACAAGCAAGAGACAATTTGCAAATAAATTTTGAAGGTCGCAGATTACAAATTAAAGAGTTTGTTAGGGACAGTTTGTTATTTTAATAAAAGTAGCAGAGTTCTCTAGTAATTTTAATATCTGTGCGTGTTCAATATAATTTGCACAATCCTTATGAGTGTATCTGTAACTAGCATAATGCAAAAAAAAAAAAAAAACTGCATCTAATGGAATTTTTGGAGCTCGTAACAATAGTTATTGTTATAAAAATGAGTATCTTTCATTCGATGATAGCTCACTAAAGTATCTGAACTCTTGCTACAGAATATAATGATATATTATGTGTATTATAAAAAGCATCTTGAAACGTGATTACTGCAATAAGACACGAGTAGATTGTTTTGTTAGAATAGATATTATTTATTATTTCTCCTTACGACATTATGACAATTTAAAGTATCGATTTTCTTGCATCTATCAGGACAGTGGTAACATGATCCTAACATTACACATTTTTTTTACATTCTACATATATTATAAATACTCAATAAAATACTGTTTTATTGTTTTAAATTCAATATGTGTGTTCAGTTTTGCTCATCATTTTATATTCCATACATAATTATATATAATATGTAATTATATTTTATATATAATTAATCGTAAAACTATAACGTATCAATAAAACTTCTTTTTACGAAGGTTCAAATACTTTCATGAGCTTTCAAGATACATAATTTTTTGTAATATTATAACGATAGAAGTTTCGTTCTAGTAACTACTAGAATATGTTACTATTTATATAAAAATTATTGACATTCGTTCGTTAAATCACTGTGCAAGTAGGTTCCAACGATGTAATAATTATTGTAAAATTCTAGAGCGAAGAAGAGAGTAACTTAAAGATAAGAAAACAATAGAAAAAGATAGCCGAAAGCGTCTGACAGGATACCTTCCCCTCAATTATTCTACCCGTGAACGTAAAACTGTAAAATTACAAAACCCTGTCGGTCCAACGTATTTAACGTAAAATTGTAGAATTGTAACGGAACTTGTATCTGTAACTTGCAATCCGTCGTCTGTCTAATATCGCCACTGTCACTTCTAAGCAAAGTCGAAAGTGCTCCGATGTACCGTGACAGTACCGCCAGAGAACAATAGTCAGTCAGCGTAGTCGATAGAGGCTGAAGGGAAAGATCGAACGAAGTTCGATCCCAGTGAATAGGGACGAACGGAGAAGCGAAAAGGAGATGATTCCGGTTACTACCACGGTAAATTTCACGCTTAGAAAAAAAGAGAGCGGTCGCGTTGTCCGGCCAATCAGTCGAAAGCTTTTATCGAACAAATTGGTCAGTGAACGTAGCAGACCAGGATGCCGAGATGGACCGAATCCGAATAAACGAGAACGAAAAGAGAGGGAAAGAGAGAAAAATGGGTGGGAGGGGGGACAGCCGGGAGTAAACGGAACGCGATTGTATGTGGAATCTGTGCGTGTGTGTGTGTGTTCGCGCGCGCGCGCGAGCGTGTGTGTTTTAGAGCGTGAGGGAGAAAGAGAGAGGTGTTCGGAGCGAAGTGCGGGGTACTTTCTGTCAGATGATCCTGATTGGTAGTTGCCGAGCAATCCAACGTCGACGAAAAAGGCGAAAACCCGATAGCGTAAAACGAGCAACGGGTACAAAAAAAAAAAAAAAAAAGAAAAAAAAAGAGCGGTCTCGCGGAATAAAATAAAACGGTTGCATTCAGCGCCCCACCTGAAGCGGCCGTTATCGCATCGGATAGGGAACACGAACACGACTTGTTAAAAAATTGCTCGATGGGAGTATCGTCCCGTTTCAGCCCTTTCTCCTCCCCTTCATCCACTTTCTACCTTCTCTCACTCTCTCTCTCTCTCTTTTTTTATACAGGGTGTTTCCGATTCGGTGGTGCAACAAGAAAGGGGGTGACTCTGACTGTGAAAAAATAAGCCGGAAAGAAGGAATAAGATTCTCTCGTTTAACGACTCTGTTTTTGAGTTTGGAAATTCGTCGAGTACACTGGGACCGGATTACGATCAAATTCACCCCCAATTCGTTAGACATCGAGGCTCATAAAAAATTTTGGTTTTACTTTGTTATTAATCTCCATCAGAAGGAATACAGAATAAGATTGAATAGTGCTACAGTAATCTATGAGCCCATGATTAAAAATCTCTAGGTGGTTCTCCGGTTTTAGATAGTATTTAATAAACTAATCCAATTTTAATTTTTAGGCGAAATAAATGAAAACTAAGGAAGACTAAGAATTAAAATCAGATAAAGACAAATTAAGGAAGGTGTTGAATATTTAGCTGGTTCTGTTTAATAAACCAATCCAATTTAATAAATAAAAACTACTGCAAATGTCAAATATATGCTATGACGACATTAAAGCTTCAACCTTTAACGATGCATACCAATGTAACTTTCCGTATGTGAGATATATTACACTGAGATATATTACATTACATATACTACCACTGTCAGTTCTTTATATTTATTATTGCAATTTAGAGTGTACGTCGCGTTATTACCGCCGGGATATTTATACGCTCCATAAAAGTTTGTTTAAAATTTGCTCGTATGGAAGCCCATAAAATAAAAAAACGTTCCTATAAAAATATTAAAGATTGCGTGTTAGTCCAACAAAACCAATGGAAAAGATGCGTCAACGTGGCAGATGTGCAAGACATTTAAAAGAAGAGAATGGAAAAATATTTGAAAAATTTTCTGATGCACACATAAAATACTTTATATCCTATTACCCCTAGTATCTTTCACAATTAATTGTTAATTATTTCTCTTATTATTTTCCTCGCATTATTCCCTTTTAGTTTCAAATATACTTCAACATATTCTCAATTATCACTGAAACCTATGATCTCACTTTCAACTAGTA